AAATAATGATGAGATTGCTTACCCAATAGCAAATATGTCTGGTATTGTTTCCTGATACACTAGCCACTTGTCCACTCTCTGAATAGGATACTGTCCATTGACATTCCAAGTACCACAAAATAAACTAATAATAATAATAATAATATAATTATAACTGAACAATTGGAATTAAATTCAATTAATACATAGCCGGTAATATCAATCAATGAATTTTCAAAGCTGCTCCAAAATGGAATAAACCACGGGCTATAGCCTTGGGTATTTTTCAAAAATTGTCTGATTTTTTAAAATGGCCATAACTCAAATATTTCTTGTCGGAATCTGCTCAAACCTCCCAGACAGCATAAGGACATCAATATGTATCAGAAAATGTAATAAAAACTTGGGGTGATTTTGGAGCCATTTTTTGGAAAAAAACCATGGGCTATAGCCTTGGGTATTTTTCAAAATTTTGGCATTTTCTTAAAATGGCCGTAACTTGAAAAATTAAAGTCGGAATCACCTCAAATTTTCTACACAGCATAAGGACATCAATATGTATCAGAAAATTTAATAAAAATTTGAGGTGATTTCGGAGCCATTTTTTGGAAAAATCCATGGGCTATAGCCTTGAGTATTTTTCAAAAATTGGCCATTTAAAAAAAATGGCCATAACTTGAAAATTTCTTGTCAGAATCAGCTTAAACTTTCTACACAGCATAAGGACATCAATATGTATCAGAAAATGTAATAAAAATTTGGGGTCATTTCGGAGCCATTTTTTGAAAAAACCATGGACTATAGCCTTGGGTACTGTAGCTTCCATTACATTCTCGGCTGTTCATTATTATTGCAATTTTTCCCTGCACTCAGCAATTACCAATTAATATTATTACAAATATAACCCCACCCACAGTACAGTACACATGTACATGTACATACTATTACATGTACATGTACATACTATTACATGTATACTGTACATACGTCAATGGTTCCCTGACACAGAAGTCATTCTCCCTCTCGTGCAGTTCCCTTTGTATCAAACAGTCTCTCATGGATCCTTTCAACAGGAGGACCCCAGGATGATACCTGGAGACCCACTTACTGTTACCATCCACTGGAGCAGCACCAGGAGACTTGGACTATGAGGGAGAAGAAAGAAACATTTAACATACATGTATACATGTACATGTACAATATGTGTACGTTAAGATACCGTATAGCGGGTTTTTTTCGAGGATAATAAATTTCGCGAATGACCCATATCCAGAAGTTTGCGGAATTAATTTTCGCGAATTTCCACTAATCTGCCATCTTGTATTGTATTAAATTGATTTTCAAGGAATTTAATTTCACGAATCATGAAAAAATCCGCGAAATTCG